TGTTATTTATTTTTTTTCTCCGCAATTTTTCCCCCTTTTTCTCCCCCCTTTTTTTTTTTTATTCTTCTTTTTTTTTTTTTTTTTTTTTTTTTTTTATTATTTCATTTTACTTTTCCCTGCGTTCGGGGTTTTTTTTTTTTTAGGTTTTTCTCCCCTCGCCCGTAACTACTACAGCTTTATAGGATGCGATTCTTCGCAAACACACTGCCATATAATACGACACGGCCGTGTCACTATATAGACGCGGCGGCGGACACACACGCGTACGACGCGTAATTGGACGCAACCGCGCGCGCGTCTCGGTAATATAATAATAGTAATAGTTGCGCACGTGTGAACGCGCGCTCTTGTGTGTGTGTGTGTGTGTGTGGCGCGCGCGGTACGGCCCGCCGCCGATTTGGACGCGGAGACGTCGTCATCGTCGTCGTCGTCGTCGTCGTCGTCCGTCGGCCGTCCGCCGCCGCCAAAGTCGCCACCGCGTTGTCATCACTGCCGCCGCCGCTACCACCGCGCGTCGCAACCCCTTGGCCGACGGAGGCACCGCCAACCGTAGCACCCCGGCGGCGGCGACAACTGCCCTCGAGCGCGCGTCGTATATTATATTATTATTATTATTATTATTATTACTATTATTATTATTTTATGATTCACCACCGTCGCGCGCGACGAGTCGCGTCCAGTCGATACGTGTGTGCCACCGTCGGCGGAACGTTGACGTGGTGGCGAACGATATTATTAAAATCATAATCGTTTTCGTCGTCGTCGTCGTCGTCGTCGTCGTCGTTGCACTTGAACGGGCGCAACAATAACAATATTGCTCTGTTAATTTTTTTTTTTTTTTTTCATCATTGTTATTACAGTAATTTTTTTTTTTTATTATTTACCACACACGAGATAATCGAGCCACGTGTCGCCGAATGATTTTGTCAGACACGTTGAGGCGTGTTACTCACTTCGTTGGTAAGAAATCGCAAGACAGCGATTTTTGAGAAAAATTGTTTTTCGAACCTTTCACGACATATACAACGCGAATCGAATCGAAGACATGCACCGTCACGAATGCTGTGGTCAACAACATCGCAGTCGCCTGTACCGCCGTCGTAGCCACGCGTCTCGTAACTCTTTCGATTCTCGCGTCATTGCCGTCGTCATGTCCAGTGAGTAAACACAGTAAATAATTATCATACTCGGTACTCGATAGGTACATTTAAATACGAAATTTTTCGTGTCTCGCCACTACGTTGCTGTTAATAAAACAGGTTTTTCAAACCTATGCGAAAAGTTTTTTTTTAAACTGGAATGCAAATGATCAGAGCTCTCTACAATTTTTTTCCCGATACACATTAAATGGGTAAAGAATACGTTTACAATCATACATATAAAAAAACGTTAAATTAAAATATGTGCGTGCGCGCGCGCGTGTGTGTATGCGAAAACGTGCACTTTCAAAAGTTCGTTAAACACACGCACACGCACTGTCGCGTCCCTCTGTCTCCAGACACGTGTGTCTGACTGCAGTGCACAATAATGATATTTAATAAAATAATAACAATAAAACAATAAACACAGGTACTGTGTAAGTATATAGTATAAAAGTGTACCTATACGTTTCTCGTATCTCGTTTATTATTTGTCGTGATTTTAAATATCTATTGTTATTGCTTTTTTTTTTTTTTTTATTATTATATCGCGTGTTTACAGAAATGTTACAAAATTTAATATTCACAGTAACTATATTTGTTATGATACGTATTTAAAAATTTTTTTTTTGCATTTTTTTATTTAATCGCGAATAAATATACTAGTATTCTATTGTTGACTTTAATACATTCAGTGTTTTGTGGTATTTATTAAATATATACATATATAATAGAAGAATAACAGAATTTAGATTAAATGTGTATTTTTAAGAAACCTAATGTTCAGTATTAAAGTATAGCTCATCACTCTAAAAGCAGTTACTGAAAAAAATAAAATAGGTATGGTTAAACACAATTAAATAATAGTGTAACTGGTGGGTAATTATTATAATTTGCAAATATTTTACATTATGACTGTATTGGTTAGTCATTATCATGATTTTTTAAATATTATTAATGGAGATACTCACATTTGTAGGCATGTCTTTCTCTGATTAATAGTTAAATTATTAATTTTTATTACCGACCTTAGTATTTATACTTATAGTATTTTTAAACTATTTTGTAATTTTACTTAATTTTCAATAATTGTAAGCAAAAAATTAAGTAGATTTTATAGCTACTATATTAACCGCTTCAGTAGAATAGTGCTTGCAATCAGCGAATCAAATTTATAAGGAATCATCTACGTAAGCAAGAATAAAATATGTATCCTGCGATTTATTAATTTATTTTACGAAGTACTGAATATAATTTTAAATTTATTCAAGCGTAAAAATGTTTAAGTCAAATATTAAATTTTTAATATTTTTTTTTAAACTTAATCATTTAAATTGTATTTTATATTTTTATTATGTAGATTAATTTAAACGTTTATTCATAATTAATGACCTTATACATTGGGTATTCAATATTGATTACATCGGAGATGTTATTAAAACTTAAGTTCAAATAGCCAGCCAATATTGTTTTTAAGTGAATAATGATGAAAGTACTAAACTATTCTATAATCTTTTTTTTTATGTACCTACTAAATATTTTAAAATGTTCTGTATAAAATGTGTGTGTATTATACTACACTACAATATGTATATACTAATTTTATGATATGGAATAGGAAAACTAAATATTTTTAAAATTATATTTCTTAAAAAATTATATATTATATACGCCAAGTTAAGTTATTTATTTCCTTTGCCTATACAAAGATTCTTTATAAAGCCTTTTATACGTTCATAAGTTTAAATACCCCTAAAATAATGTGATGTTATACCTAGAATGTCGTAGGTACATATTATATTATAACGAGCTGATATTTATGTCAGATGACTACGTTTATTGAGGGGGCTTGAAATGTTTTCAAGAGGCTAAGCCCCCCAATTGTGTAGGTAATTTATTATATCCAAAATAATACCATTTTTGATTTATTGATGTATTTATAATTTTATTTTTTCATGTTTTAAACTTATGAATTATATTCATAAACATTTTATAATATATTAAAATTTAAATACAATATATTAACTACAATATATATATTTTTAAAACTATATTATTTTATGGTATTTTTATTAAAAACTTTATTCTCACTCATATTATTTATTATTTGTAATTGTTTAAGTACATAAGTACTGATATCAGATATGTGATCAATTTTTTTAATAATTTTTATTTAATTATTTATTGGCGTTACATATTTAAATAGTGTCCTTTACAAAAGTTTAATAATTAAAAGGAACCAATGAATTTTATTTCGCATAACGATATAAGTATTTTTAGTAAATTTCCGAATACAAAAAATATGTTTACATTTAAAGCTCTTTCAAGTACAACTGTGGCAATCTTTGTATTTAATTGTATTTATTTATTTATTTAGTTGTTTACAAATATTAAATAATAGAATACATTTTATAGTAGTTATGTCCTGCAATAATACATTTTAAATGTATTTTCAATGTTGGTATTAAACACATTGTATTATACATGTATAAACAATAAAGTCAATTCAATTTTGATTTTTTTTTTTAATTTCTTCATCTTTTTTTAGTATAATTTTGTTTTATAATTGCTTTTATTATTGATTTAAAGTTATTAAAATTTCTTGGCAAATAGTTTTGATTAAATAACAATATATTGCTAAGCAACTGAAGAAAACTTTTAGAAGTAAGTAATATCCAAAAATGTTATCCCTTAAGTTGCGGTCAACAATGCCACAAAAATATTAGTTAATATTTAAAATTTATACATATAATATTAATTATAATTGATTAATAAGATACGTCATACACGATAGTACCTATAGAACAAATGTAGTTAATTAATAATAATATGTTTAATTTTAATCTTTATAAAAATTTATTATCTGAATTCTATAATATAAAAATAAATAAAAATACAAAATTAATTAAATAATTAAAATAATAATGAATAAAAATTAATTTAAATTAAATAATTGTTTATTTGTATGGTCTATTCTAAGGATCACCAACTAATTTCTACTAGGATCCGTTTTAAAACGTATTTAAATTTTAATAGTTCAAAATTATTTTAATGAATTTTTCATATATTAACAAAAAAATAATTAATATAAATTTATTTATAAAAATGTGAAATGTAATGTAAAACTATATAATTTGTTTTATAATTTTATTATGCAACCAGACTCCATAAAAATTGTGTCTGCACTTCGCAGTCTGTCAGTTAGTGTACTTCGATATATTCTATTTGTACTACATTTTTACATGCATAATACTCGTAATTAATGATTCTACCCAAGAGTTAATACATCTATAGCGAATTGGCTAATATAGTATTAGTAGGTAAACTATTCGACAAAGTTTTTTTTATTCAAAGTAAATTTATTTTTAAAGTACCAACATTTTACAGTACCAAGAATAATAAAATAAACTTTTTTCATAGACATAGGTAGTTGTCAATTTAGGTTTTAAAAATTATGCAATTTTGACCTTTTATTGTTAAATTTATAATTTATAGAAACTTAATAAAAATCAGTATTTTAGAACATTCTTGTATTGTCAATAAAAGTTGTGTACCTAAATGTGTTATGTCTTACATAGGTATTTCAGAAAGTAAATTTTACTTTAGGCATTTTACCATACTAAATAATTTGTAATACTATGTGTTTATTGCAAAACGTAATCTCTTATGAAATAGTCATTTCTGTTATCTTGATAATCAGTTTTAATATAGTTTAAGCTTATAAGGGTTAATAAAAGTTAATATATAATAGATCGAAGTATAAAATATATTCTGAATAAGTTCTTAGAAATAGGTTAACGTTTAGTAGTTTAAGTATTTTGACAATACAAGATGTACTTATATAAAAAAAAGCATGTCAATAATAGAAAACATACGATTAACTCTTATTGACTAGATATATGCATTTTTGATGAAAGTACAGGTATGGTCCAGACTCGATATTTGGTTCTTGTAAAAATATTTAACACCAACAATTATTATTTTTTCATCACATTTTTTTCAAAATTTTGTTTATGTAAAAGATGTATCATTGAAAAATATTGTTACTATAAAAACTTTTAATACGTTTATGTATTTGAAAAATATAGATAATATTTGAATAATAAAAAATAGACTTTGTATTACATAAATATCCAGTTAATTGCAAGTGTTCAATTACATTTTATAAATTATAATTAAGTGTATTTAAGACTACAAATAATCAATTAATTTAAAAAAAAAAAACTTTCGTTAAATTTACTGAAAAATGTATGAGTTTATTTTTAAATTTAAGGTTTTAATTTTCGTTTTAGTCAATGATTTTTATATATTTTTTACGTTGACTATGTTTCAGATAATATATAAACGTCTGTAAGTACCAGTTATAAATTATTTATGTAATGTTTGTTCATTATAAAAACGTAACATTTTAATGTTGATTGCTTTTTGTGGTTCATGTTTGTAATACCTACTTAAATAATCAAGAAGTTATCCTAGTAAATTTATTTACTTAATTATAAATAAAGTAAAATAGTTGTAATATAAAGTCTTAAAAATAATTATATTTTAATCTTTGTATAGATTATATTATAATATGTGTAATTTAATATATAAACTGATGTATATGTACCTACTTTACCAGAGATTTTTAGACAACTCATTAATTTACCTATTGTTTTGCTTAGGCAGGGTAGACAACATATCCTATGTATCCCGTACATTGATCAAACTCCTCAGTATACTTTTCTTATAATAAATTTGAAATTATTACTTGAATTATTTGTTAAAAAAAAAAAAAAAATATATTGTTAAATTATCACTTTTTAATAAAAAATACAATGTTTTTTGTAAATACATGAGTGTTTAATGACGTCGTTTATTTATTTTTTGAAAAATTTTAATAAGTAATTTGAAACTATTAATTAACGATTTGATCAATGTTTATATGTTTATAATATCAAACGCTAAAAATGATTTGCCAATTATCGCCAAGTACAGACCATGTTTTAATTTCTTATAAAGAAAATTAGTTAGTGGGTGAGAAGAGAAGTATTATAAAAAAATACGAATTTTATTATTTAGTGTGAACATTTAGTTAATAAAATAAAATAATTTGGAAAAAGTTAATCTTTTAATGTATCTTATGGTATTTTTATTAGTTTTGAAATTTTTTTTTCATATCGGTATTGTTTTTTAAGGTCATTATCTAATGTTTTATATATTATTAACTTCTGAAACCCTATCATAATAATATATTCATTATTACATTTTGAGTAATATCTATCTATGACATAGTAAATTATTTTATTCATAATTTACACTACTTATTATTATATGATTATATGATAAGTATAATATTCAATACACCAACTTTTTGTCATTTGATAATAAAAATATCGATCATTGGGCCATGAACTATAAATCATAATTTATTATAAACCCAAATACAAATGGGTTTATTGACCACGTTTGTCTAAATCAGGGGCGGCCAAACAGTCGATCGCAAACAATTTTAAAGTCGATCGTGCCAGAATTTATTTTTAGGCTGCGCACACGAAAATTAATTATGGTGGTATAGTAACTTAATAATAATAAAAACTTTTTTATCGAAGTCGATTCTCAAAGGTGAAGTATATTTTTAGTAGATCGCGGCCGAAAAAAGTTTGACCGTCTCTGGTCTAAATAGTAATAAAATTATTAAGCTACATAACAAACCTATGTGCTGCAGGTATCAATTCAAATCACTCTTGTGTTTTTTTAATTTAGAGAAAAACCTGTAATAAATCATAAAATTTAAGCTCGATATGTTTACTTCATCAAACTTAACCAAGTGTAGGTTAAATGGATACTAAAGACAATACATTCTCAGGGTTCAACTTTTTCAACGTTTAATTATATTATGTGTATAATAAATTAATAGTAAAATATAATATAAATATGTTTATATCACGAAAAGTTACTAAATAATAAATTCAAAATAATACCTAATGTTAAATTGATATTTGATATAATTTTGTTATTAAAGTGTGTCTTTGAATAATATTAGATGATTGTGTCCTTTTCAAACTTCTAAAGTATTAATAGATAAGTAGATAACTATAAAAAAATCATTGAAGCTTTTCAAAATCAAACTATATTAAAATGGTGAAATAAAAAAAAAAAAAAGCTACGATACTGTGGAACAAATGTATAAGAAAGACAGCATATCTTACATCACTATGAAATAATATTTTGAAGAGAAATTATGAAACTTAAATTGAATCACATTTCTACTATCATAAAAATGATATTGGCCCTTTGCTTTAAAATTAAATTGTTTAATTTTTAATGTTTTTAAATTTAAGTAAAGTATAATTTGTTGAAAATAATAAAATATCTATTATAATAAAGAGGTTTTTGAAAAAATGATTGTAATATGCCAATATGTATTTTTATATATTTTATTTTCAATACGATTGTATTTAACAATCTTAGTTGCCAATTATTCGATCAAAAGAGCATTTTTTAAGTTAACACAAATAAAAATTAGTATAGATCAAACTAAACATAAAATAATGTAAATTAATATTAATGATATTCTATAAGAAAATGATATTTTTTAATTAATTAAATGTCTTTCATCTTGAATAGTCATAGAATTGAAAGATTACGTACTAGTTGCGGACGAATTGTTCAGAACAATATTATAACGTAATAATTGCGGAACGGGAAATGGGATTTGATGCCAAAATATTAACTGTGGAAATCAAGTTCATAAAACCATGTGCGTTGAGGACATAAATATTTTCCACAAATTCTTTTTTAAGACTTAAAACAAGCTAAAAAAAATACCAATAGGTAGATGGTGTTAAAAATATTTGTGTTTTAGAAAAGAGCAACCGTACTTTTAAAATGTTTTTTTTGTAAATATATCATAATTATAAATTTTTTTTGAAACAACTGGATGTATTAATTTCACTATTTGAATATTACAGTGTGGTTGTTGATGAATGCTTCATTTTCCTTTTCTTTTTCTTTTTTTTACGCGCTTTAAATTTCATTCACCAATACAATTCACAAATTTCCAAACATTTATAATAGTTATTATCAAAAATAATGAATGGAAATTTATTCGTAATAAGTATGTTATACTTGGGTTCGAAATTCGTCTGCCACTCGAATGGTTTTTATTAATTTTTCCGCAATTAGGAGATATCGAATTGAAGGGGGCTTTATAGGTAATAGATGTTTGGAGTTCATGGGCCCAATTGATCATTAATTAGGACCTGAGGACCACAATTTTTAATTTTTTTAAATTCTATTAAAAAGTTTTACTACCAAATACTAGAGGTTTAGTTCGGTTGTATACCCTAGATTAAAGAAATATATGTATATAATATGCGAGTATATTATATATACGTATATTTGTTAGTTTTCTGTTTTACTATTAATGATTATTAATTTTTATAAATTAGGAAACATAAATAGTAAATAATCAAATTATATGCAAGAAATAAATTTACTCTTTGCGCAGAGCCTTTAATAAGCTCAAAAGATATTATTAAAATTCTAAATTACTATGGAAATTTGCTTTTTTAGTCAATATTGCAGGGACAAAGATTTCGTATTTTTTTTTTTTTGTAATTGCAGTTTCTCGAGTAAAAAACGTGACTTGTAAGTTAAAAAGTATTATAAAATTCCATACGCAAAAATTTAGTTTTGCATTTAATAATTTAAATTTTTTTTTTTTATTATCTACATTATATATTATATTTTACATGTCAATTTTCGTTTCTTTAAAAATTTAATTTAATTACCTACCATTTTTTATTTTTTTATGAATAATGTTATTTAACTAAAGCTTATAATATGTTTATGGATAAAATTAATTATTGGTGGTTTAAGTCCGAAATATTGCATTAACCAAAAACCGTGGTTAAATATAATATGTACCGAGTGTTGAATATTATTCATAGCTTATATATATATATATATATTTCTGACTTTGTTTATTATCTGTGATATAATAATAATGAATTATTTTTTTAATTTAAAAATTAAACTCTTTTGTATTTTATAAATTAACTTGACCATTATTAAAATTAAATAACTAATAATAATTTATTTGTTTTTTTTTTTTGTTCTTTGTTTTAGTTTAGCTTCGATATTAACAAAGAAATAGTAATATGCAGACAATCGGCAAAGCAGATAATAAAATGGATTTTCCTTTAAATTGGACTGATATATTATTAAAATCAATATCAGGTAAGACAAATTATACTATAGATGTAAAAATAGGAACTAAACGCATTGCTAGCAACCAAGATCTAAGAGATATTACAAAAAAAAGACGTAAACAATCAAATCCTACAAGGATATCTTCTAATGAAGAAAATACAAAAAATAGAAGCGACAAAAAAATATCACTTTCTACTAAAAATAAAAGTGAACTGAACAATAGCGAAGAAGCAACAGATTTAAAATTAACTTACTCCCAATATCCTTCAGCTTCTTTACCTCTGAATCTGACGATAACTGAAAATCAAAAATTTTCACCAATTGAGATACAAAATATACATTTTTCTAATGATATACAACTGAAAAATAACTCATCTACGGAAATTTCTAATAATCCGAATTCATTGCAAGGAACATTTCTGAAAGAAATTTCACATAATTATAAGAAAGACTATTCGACTGAATCTTTAACTTGTATGATGCCATTTTCTAAAAACCAACCATGCTCATCAGGGACCAATGTTGGGCCGACTTCTGTCCAAATATTCAATCCAGAAGCTTTTTGTGATCAGTGTAATAAAGAATTTTGTAACAAATATTTTTTGAAAACGCACAAAGCTAATAAACATGGTGTTTTCAGTGACGGCCATTCAAATAGTTCTAGTTTAGATCAGTTGGATAAAATTAAAATAACAACATTGCCCTCGACTTGCGATTTCTCTTCAAACGTAAATGATAATAATATTGGTGCTTCAACATCATCAATGTTTAAAAACCCTGTATTGTTTTCTCAGTCATCGGTAAATCAAAGCACATATGTATCAAAAAATATATTTAACAACCAAACACGAGCGTTTTGTAGTATATGCCAAAAAGAGTTCTGTAACAAATATTTTGTTAGGAGACATAAAGCTAAAATTCATGGTATAGCAGACGATGGAGACTTAAAGTTAACTGATGATATCCCATTAAACTTCAAAACAAATTTACAGATCAAAAATGAAGTTTTAGATTCTGGAGTGTCCGATTCATGCGATAAAGATGTTAAAACAGTATCGCCATCTTTTCATGCTAATGAATCCATAGCTGAAATTTCAAAAACACATGAAAAATTATTCTTTAAGGACATTCAAACATCAGTAGATAATGAAAATGAAATTGTGATGAACTACGCAGCAGTCAAAACACAACATAATAACATAAAAGTTGAGAATACAAACGATGAGCGAAATGTAAACTACATCAATAAATTAAATAATGAATTATGTAATATTACCGATCTTCATAGTATTGAATTTACAAGTAATTCAAGTCATATCACAAACACAAATATACATTATGAAAAAGAAGTATTTAAAAATGATTGTTCAAAATCAAACACTAAAGGAGTAAATCAGCAATCTACTGAATTCAAGACTAACACTAATACCCCCATTAACTTAGTTACAAATAATAGTGTAAACGACAACATTAATGGGAATAAAGTTAACATCTTAAATAATTATCTTCCAATTACCGTAACAACTAATGAAAATGAAAATAAAACGAATACAAATGTTGAAACGGATGAATCTAAAATTGACTTAATGAGCAAAAACAAGTTACTTACATTACACAATTTATTTTTCAAACTCGACGGAAATACGTTAGAGAATATGTCAACATGTTATGTATGTAACATGAAAGTTGACGGATCATTAAAAGCTCATATCTTTAATGAACATGAAAAGATCGTTCATGAACTAATGAATGAAACTTTAGAGTCTAATGAAAATATACGTGTTGAACATTCATGTCATGAATGCCATCAAATATTTAATTCTGATACATTATTGAAAGAACATATCGAGCAGTGTGAGTGTAACATCAAATGTATGGGTAGGGCATCGGCTAGTAGTAAAAATTCTGCAGAAAACGAGGAATATATTAATCAGCATGTTAAAGACTTGGGCGAAAGAAAACAGACAACAATGTTAAGTAGTTTTTGCAAAATATGTAATAAAGAATTGTGCAATAAGTATTTCATGAAAACTCACATGCAACGTATGCATGGTATATCGATTCAAAATGGTAATCATATTGGGGGAGTAGTATGTGACATATGTAACAAAGAACTTTGCAGTAAATATTTTCTACGAGTACACAAACAGAACTCACATGGCATAGTCGAAAATGGATCATGCCAAAAATATTGGTCCGATTCGATGACTGAGAATGGACAACTATCTGATGAAACTGAAAACGGTCATAGATATTATAAACATTATACTGAAGTATGTAATATATGTCTTAGACGATTTAGAAGTTCAAAATGGTTAAGTGCTCATTTATTAAACGATCATGGTTCTGAGGGAAAATTTCAGTGGAAGCATATTCAGAATCATTTGGAAGAAGAAAAGCAAAATTTGCAATTTAACTGCGAGTTAAACACGAACTTAATAGCAATTGGAAGTCCTAAACAAAATCCAGTCGAAGAGCAAATAATATGCGATGAGATGAAACAGTATCGTTGTTCATACTGCTCATTCACCACATCCATTTTATCGTTTCTTTTCGTACATGAAAAATTTCATCTCACCGAAAATAAAACCACAAAGGATATGTCTTTAACATGTCCGACCTGCAGCGTGGCGTTTCAAAACAAGACAAAGTTGGAAAATCATTTTACACATTGTCATATCAATTCAGATGCAAAAAATTCGCCCGTTCCATACGCTACTTTACATTCACCGGATAACACAAACGTCACACTCAACGCTAATGAAGATTCGTCAACAGACAAATCGTTGGACAATAACGGAAATGACGTATTCGCCGACAAACTTGAAACATCGATCAAGCCACGTCAAACCGAAGACACATCGCCGTCTACAGAAAAAAAACACAATATTCCCGAATCAAATCACGAGCCGTTTATAATGCAGTCGTTTTTTCTCGAAAACTGTTCAGTATCTCCGTCGGTCAAGAAGGAAATGAGTGGTCGCAGTGATTCATTTCATTCATCTCTAGTCTACTTACCAGTCAAGGAAAAGTTAACGTCAACTGTTAATGTTTTCTTCAAGCTAACCCCAACATAAATATCTGCGTTTTTAAGCTTATATACATAGGTGAGTGTAGCATTCTATAGCTCACGGCATACAATAATTTAGCTAACTATAAGCTTAAACATATTAAATAATTAAAGTTTGTATGATATAACATAATATTATAATATACATCCACAGAATTAAAATAAGACTGAACTACATATTTTATGGGTGCTGGAATGAAATTTGGTGATATTGATAATACTAAAGTTCCTAATTTAGCCTTGAATAAAATATTATGTCATAATATAACATTGGTAGTTTTGTTTAAATTCCAATTCGTAAATTCGAGCTACTCCGGGAATCCATATGCACCAAATTCAAAGTTAAAAGCATAATTAAAATAAATTATGTAATAATATGATGATCAAAGTTCTAAAAAAATAATATCTACATTTACATTTTTTTTCAACTGTTCGACGAGTAAAATAATATACACTATTATATTATAATATAGAGTGATTCACTATTAATACAAATATTTGTATTTATTATAGACTAAAATATGGTACTTTTGTAAATATATCAAATTAAAATATTATTTTTTTTTGGAAACTTTTACAAACACAGTTCAAAATTTAGCTATGGAATTAAATTATATGTCACTTGTTTATTGTGTATAATATTTTTTGATTAAAAGGCGTCAGCCACCAATACAATTTATAATGGATTATATCACTTAATTTATTTTTATTTTTTTTGTTGTTATAAACTAATTATTTTTATAGTTGTGTATTTCATTTTAATCGATTTTGTATTTAAAATAATATCGTCCAAAATTAATTTTATTTTTTTATAGAAAACCCGGGTCAACGAATTGTTGAAAATTAATAACTAAAATTTAAAACTTTATACTTATCAAAATCTCAAGCCTTGTTTATTAAAACAATGCATATTGTAAATTCTAAAAAATATTTTAAATTATAAATTCTATTTATTTTTTTTAACTTCTCTGCGTTATTTAGTATTTTCATCGTTTTAGCTTATGAGAAGTTATAAAATATTTTGATTTTTTAACAAAGATATAAAAAAAATACTATTGTTGTTAAAGTTTCCAAAAAAAAAATTCGTAATACTTTCAGCTTTACAGAAATATTCCATGTCACGTACGATAAGAATCACTCTTAGCTTATACAATATAGTGTATAGCGTATTTATATTATATATTATATGGGTTTCATAAATATAACCTAATTGTTTTAACTTATTTATTATAGTTCAGTTCAGTTACCTATATTTTAAAAGCACCCATTTAAACGTAATAATGGTAATGGGTTTTTAAATCAGATAATCAAAAATTATTTTTAAGCACTGCCTTGACAACTAGGTCATTGGCTTGATAATCAAAATTATACATTAAACTAGTTTAATTTTATAATCAAAAAAAATGATATATTATGTTTTACAATTAATATTAATTAAGGTTATCGTTATACAAGCATGAATGTTTATTTATTTATTTTTTTTTTTTGACAATATGATTATTATCGCTAATATAATATACAGATACTCGTATATATTTTATGTCAGTAACTAAAACGCAAATAAATTGAGAAATCAAATCATGGGTACATCATGAAATTAGATAATACGTAATTAGTAATTTGAATGCCCTCATTATTTAAATTAATAGGGCTCGGATTTATATACTCTAAATATCTTTAAAATATGTACTTTATTATAAGTATTTATGTTTTTATTTATTAATATGCTTTTAAAAACCAAAAATACGCAGACGAAAAAAAATTATTAAATTATTTAAATACAATCTTACTGTTATTGTTATTTATTTTATTTAAATTTTGCTAAAAATGATTTCTAAAGTGACTATAAAGTATAACTTAAAAAATAAAACTTTATAGCATATCAATTCAAAAGCAAATGAACATTATTGATAAAATAATTTCTGATCATAAATTTTTTTTAACCTTAATAAAAAACATACCATACAGGACAATATAGGACAATATAAGTTTTTTTTAATAAAATAATAAATACCTATCTAAAGCATTCAAGTTGCATTATAAAACAATTTTTTTTTTTTTGATTTTCAGTTTATTTACTGTTATGTCTTGAAAAATATATTTTTAAATTCATTATATTTAAACAATATGGTCAATAACAATATTATAGAGAATGCATCAGTATTTAGATACCTATCGTAAAATCTAGTAGGCCATTCAATAACATTTGTTTACATATAGTGAACGACTGTATGTCTGTATATCCCTATTATTATGTTGTTAGCGTATTACGATAAGACTAAAACAAGATTATCAAATTCCCGGAATATAATATTATAGCAAGTTTTAATAATTTAAGTTATTATCTTTGTTAACTACTGTTATAACTTGTAAATATATTTCAAAATGTTGTTTATAAGTTAAATACACTTATAATACTAATAATATAATTTGTATTTAAAAACCGGTATATTATTGATCATGCTTTATAATATTAAAAAGTTAAAAATATGAATAGAAAGTATATATAAACATTGCAATATAAAATTCTATACTTCTGATCTTCTTTAGATTTATAACATTAAAATTTCTATTGATCTAGTAACTAATTTTTGAACAACTAGAAAAATAATAAGTCATATAATAAATGCAAAGCTACTTAAAAAATCCGGGCCCTAATTATTATTACTTACCTACTAATTTTAGTTTATCGTGTTTTCTCGGTGTTTAAGTATTAGGTACTGATTGTTGTTATACGACAATACATTCAATTACTTTTTAATACAATATATTAATTTTCATTGAATGCGAGTAGGTATTTAGTGAATAACTGAATACATTTTATAAATAGTTTATTCATCATATACATATTTATATAACTATCCTTTTTTTATTTTATAGTTTAGTCCATTGTTCCTAAAAGAACATCAAATTTATAGTAAGATCAGCCATAGGTATTTGTTATGTGTTTTACTTAGAAATACCATAAATCCAATAAATTGATTTCCAATAAAATAATTTCCAAGTTATAGCTACAGCAAAGTTGAATAAAATGAAATGTATTGTAATAGAGAAAAATATCTTGATTATGTTTTATATTTAATTTTGGATGTCTACTTAGTGCTTAATAACTATCAAAATAATACTTTTTTACTGTCTACCAACAAAAATTTTATGTTGAGGAATATGCTATTATTGTTATACTTCAAGCAATACATACCATAAGTTTGTTAAGTAACATTCTATAGTGGACTTTCTTATCAAAAATCGATGTGCTTAAGCTTAACATAAAGTTTTATGTAAACTTTTTAAGTTATTAAAATATCATTCTTCTTGTGTTTAAAAATTATTCAAGAAACAATTATAATATATTGTTATCGTTTATTTTGGTATTACAGTAATATTGTTGATTACGCCTACCCTCTCAAACACATATTTTAATATTGTCATGGAAACAATTAAAAATATAATATTGGCTTAATTATTTCGTTCTTAAATTTATGTAACAATGAAAATATCATTAAATTACTTAAATACTTATTTATTCTATATATAAAATATCTAATTTAGTTAAATGTTTAAAAGTATTTATTTATTTTTAATTTTAACCGTAAAGCCAATTATTATTACACGTGCACTTTAAACAAAATAATTTAAAATATAAATTTATATTTTTTATATAAAAAATAAAAAATATTATATAGTTATTATAGATTGTTTTAATCCACTTATATCTTTAAAAAAAATAGTTCAACCATAAAATGTGATTGTGAAACTTAACTTCCGAAATATAACGTTTGCTTAAAATTCACCGTTTAGTTCACATAACTAACCAACCAATATATTTATATTTAATTATTTTTGAGACTTGATGCCTTAATTAAATAGAAATTGAATAAAATCAAATGCAAGCACTATAAGTATTTTTATTTTTATATAAAATCATTACCTATCTAATATTTATACATATTACATATTAAGACACATTTATTACTAAATAGATCTACGTAAATTGTTTCTAAATAACTTAACACTATTTACTTACTCGTTAGAACGAACTTTATATTGCACTTAATATTTATTTTGTGTATGAAGATCACTATAATCACGATATAAGTACTTAATGTATGAATTAAGTCATAAAAATAAGGCTACGCAGTCTTAAACCAAATGCCATTTGATATTTTTTCAATTTCATCGTCTCATAAATATGCATGTATAAAATCAAGTTTAAAATATTTTAGAATCATCGATCCAAGTAATCAAATCTGTAACAAATAATTTATGGATAAATCTCAATCTGGGAGAAGATATTGGCTTTAATATCACCATTTCAATTTTTTGCATACATATTATGATTTTATCAGTTAAAGTTAATCATTTTGTGAATATCAACTTTGGTAAACGGTATTGACTTGGTTACTTGCTCGGGATATTTTAAAACAAAAATGATTGAACTTTCACTCTAAAGTGCCGGAAAATTTTGATTCATAACTGAACTTTTGGAATACTTTTACTTCCTGTTAAGAAATAAAAAACTTTTCAATACTTGTTGGTTAATCATATGAAAAATAAGTATGCCAATAAGTCTAGTGTAATATTATTTATAATTTATTATGTATCCTTGAATATTACTAGTTAATGTTTATGATAAAATTTTTTTATTTATGTATTGATTTGTGTTTTATGTTGTCTAAAATCATTAATTATACAATGTAGAAAAAAAATCAAAAATGTAATAATAATTTCGTAAATAATAATATTTAATAACGAATGACAGTATTGTACGAAAACTATTATTTGTATCACACATTTCAACGTATAATGCTTGTGTTTATGTTAAGATTATCATATATTTATAATTTTATTTGATGTTTTATTTATATTTATACAAATTAAAATCAAAATTAATAGTTAAGATTGTACATTATTTAGTTGTATTTTATGTTAAGAACATTGGTAGAATGTGTCAGTGATAATTGAATATCAAAATAATTGACCGTTTAGTGTCAAATTCATACAAATAATCAAAATTAATTCATTACCATTTTAGTTACGTTAGTATATTTTGTATAAGTTATATTATTATTATCATTATATTATGTTGCTTTTAAAGTGTACGTATTTGCTAAACAATGTATAGAGTAAAAAGTATACATATTGTCAAACAATTTATTCTATTAGCGTTTTAATTATGTTACTTTAATTTTATATAAAATATTGAAAATTAGAATTGTACTTTCGTTCATTTTAAGTAGAATTATATTTATTTTATTTATTTGAAATTTATGAAAAATTGTGACGATAACCAATAACCTAACGTCCTGGCTGCTTGATTAAATAGTATCTTTTATTAAAGATATATTGTTCTATTTTGTATTTCAAATTGCCTGGAACTTATTTAAAAAAAATATATATATATCTTGTCA